CAACAACAACAACAACAACAACAACAACAACAACAACAACAACAACAACAACAACAACAACAACAACAACAACAACAACAACAACAAAATATGTATTTCACTCATTCAATTAAAATTTACGTGAATATATATAGAAATTGAAATATAAATAGCATATGAGTACTGACCGTCTATAACAACCATGGGGGCTAAAATCTAGACAGCCAGCCGTATATTTTAGGTCGGTACGATTACTGAAATACAACACAAAACGCAACACAGACACATAATTATAGCCTATTCAATATGAAATAAATTTAAACTAGTATTTTTCAAGAATTTTCTCCTTATTCTTTTTCTTAAACTTCCTTAATGGAAGAGTTTTAGTACTTTCAGCAATTGAATTCCATATTTTGGTGCCCTGGAACCTAATATTAAACATTCCATAGTTTGTTCTAACTTTGGGGGTGAAAAATGTTTGATTTAAAGAGAATCTTGTATTATATTCATGTACATTAATTACTGGTTTGAAAAAAGTATCAAAAACAGGCGGTAAAAGTTGATCATGAAATTTTTTCACAAATACAGCAACATGGAAGGTCACCTGATCGTAATCTTTCATAATTTTTAATGACTTAAAGAGTGGGCTTGCATGTTCATAATAATTAGTAAAAGTAATGATTCGGATCATTCTTTTTTGTAAAATGACAAGTCGGTGGAGAGTGGTTCGATAAGTGTAACCCCATACAAGTATGCCATAGATTAAGAAAGGATGTATTAGTGCATGATAGAGATTTTTAAGAGTGCTTAAATTTAAATAATAACGATGTTTTGATAAAATACCAATACTTCTTTTTATCTTATTTTCGGCAAAGCTAATATGAACCTTCCAATTAAGTTTAGAATCTAACGTTACACCCAAATATTTAATTGAAAGTTCTTGTTTTAATAATTGTTGATTTACAACAATTTGTACGTTTGTTTCTATTTTCCGTTGCCTAGGATGAAATATCACAAAATTTGATTTTTCAATATTGAGGGATAACTTATTTACACATAACCATTTATATACTTCAGCTAACTCTTTGTTCAAATTAGTTTGAAGGGTTAAAAGAATATTACTTTTATAAAACAAGTTCGAATCATCTTCAAAAAGATGAAATTCCAACAATTTAGAGCAGTTAGCAAAATCGTTAACATAGATTAAAAAGAGCAAAGGGTCAAGAACTGAACGTTGGCGGACACCGCATGAAATTGTTAATTCGTCCGATAATATGTTATCCACACAAACAAACTGTCTTCAATTGCAAAGGTACGATGAAAACCACTTGTTAGCAAGTCCCCGAACGCCGTAAAACTCTAATTTCTTAATCAAAATATCTTGATTGACTGTGTCAAATGCCTTACTTAAATCTAGGAAGACACCACAAGCATAATCACGATGATCTATTGCTTCGTTAATTTTATCAACAATACTTAGTAATGCATAAATAGTAGAATATGAAGTGCGGAAACCGAATTGCTTATAATACAAAATTTCCTTTCTTTCGAGATATTGGTGTAATCTTTTATACACAAGCTTTTCTAAAATTTTATTAAAAATCGAAAGAAGCGAAATAGGTCGATAATTATTTAAACAGTTCTGTAATCCCTTTTTAAATACAGGAATAACCTTGGCTAATTTTAAACTTGTTGAGACAATACCAGTTGAAAGCGAGGCATTAAATATGGTCACGAGTGGTTGTGACACTACATTTATAATTAATTTTAAAATTACAACAGGCATACTAAAAGGACCAGTGGCTTTAGAACAATTTAGGTTAGCAATTTCTTCCTCAATTTCACCTGCTGTTGCAGGAGAAAGAAAGAAACTGTCGTGAGAAGTCGGTGGAATCAAGTATTCAAATGGAGATTTATCCATAATTGTTGGAATCTTATTAGCTAAATTGCATCCAACATTAGAAAAGAAACCATTAAAAGCATTTGCAATAGATTTGGCATCAGTTAATTCACAACCATTATCATTTATAACTTCAGGGACCTGGTATGATTTTGATTTAATATTGATTAAACTTTTGATACGACCATACATACCTTCTTTTTAAACATATATATCATTCGTTGTTTGATGATTTAGAAGGAAAGCCTCGCTGGAATTTCACTTTGTGTACCGAAATCTCTATTTAGGCCGTTTGCTGGGACCTCGAAAAGTGCCTAGAAAACGATTTTCATTTCTCTTGTCTTGGAACTGAAATATTTTTACGGGAACTAACACTTTCGAACACGCTGAGTTCAAATACGAAAAGTTCCCGCTCTGTAGACCTGCAGTTTTCTCACAAACTGCAATTTTATCTTCACTAATTTCACGACAACGTTTTTCATTGTTCAACGACACGGATCGATGACGACAAACGATTATGTCACTCAAAAGGACCAATTTCTATTAACCAGTCTTCCTTTTAACAAAAGACAGGTTTTGCCATAAGCGTACCGGGCGGGGGGGCGGGGGGGGGGCGGTAGCCCCCCCAGTTTTTTTGGCAGTCGGGCAATATTCGATTAACAGTCGGGCAATTTTGGGTTGTTATAAAAAAAAAATTGGACAAATTCTTGGACAGGTTTTGAGACGTTTCAAGCGGTAACTTATCACTGCATTTGAACTATTATATCAGTTGGTGTTATTCTGTGCGATAAGCGAATATTATTGGAAAGAGGGCTGCCATATACGTCGAAATCACCAAATAAACAGCTTATGCACACATTTCTCCACTTCGCCGTAAGTTCACAGAGCAGATTTTGTACTTTGGCACTGATATTTGTCTTTGATGTGAACATTTTTTCTTCTAGTTTAAGATTATTTCAGAGTGATCCTGTCGTAAGTCTTCTACCAGCAACCCATCGACAATATTTCATTTTAGTGTTGTCTTTGCCGTCCGTTGGCTTCGCGTTACTTTTGTTTTAAATTCCTTGATCGCGTTAAAAGAGTTATTTCTCAGCCCAGAACATAGCCAAAAGACTTAACATTAACATCCTTGTGATTTTATTGAGATAGAGCCAGAACTGCGGATTCTAGAAAGCTTTATCTGTACCTTCTCAAAGTTTTAGACAAGATATGTTGTTTTCGTTCAACACGCATAATATTACATAACTCAAAATGATTCGAGCAAAACCGGTCTTTTGTTAAAAGGACGACTGGTTAATAGAAATTGGTATTTTTGAGTGACATAATCGTTTGTCGTCATCGATCCGTGTCGTTGAACAAAGAAAAAAGTTGTCGTGAAATTATTGAAGATGTAAAATTGCAGTTTGTGAGAAAACTGCAGGTCTACGCCTAAGGAGCGGGAACTTTTCAGATTTGAACTCAGCGTGTTCGAAAGTGTTAGTTCCCGTAAAAAGATTTCAGTTCCAAGACATGGGAAATGAAAGTGATCGATATCGGGGCGCAGCAATCGGCCCAATTATACCACCCTAAAAAATCTTCCATTTTTACGTGCTGACAAAATAGAGGCAGAGATGCGCCAGGCGACATGCTCAAACCATTTACATCAAATGTTCGGACTCGAGTGGCACTTCTGTTTAGAATGCTGTTTTTAGGGTTTGGAATCCATGTGTGTATCCATACACTGTATACATACAGTGTATATATACCCACTTGGATTACAAACCCTAAAAACAACATTCTAATATTAATTCCACCAAGTAGAGTGCAAGAAACCAGATCATTGAAGTCCACCTTATCACATTAACCCGCACACCCGATCGCCTATATATACATGAACTTACGGTTTCAACTCAACAGCTGGCCCCTGTAGCTCAGTTGGTTAGGCGCTGCACCGGAATCGCAGAGCCGTAGGTTCAATTCCTACCAGAGGACCTTGTGCTGCATTTTTAGCAGTCGTTCCTGGTCAGGTCTTCAAGTGAATATATATGCTCACTTGGATTCCAAACCCAAAAACAGCATTCTAATATTAATTCCACCAAGTGAAGCGCAAGAAACCAGATCATTGAAGTCCAATTCTGTTTAGATCCGTATTTGGTGGTTTTAAGTGTTATACACGAATAATACACTAGAATTATATGCACGAGTATTGCACGTGATGGTCACATGAAGTACACAATGAACCATTGATGAACAGTGTACAATAGCATAATTTAATTAATATGAAACAATGTGTATGACACTGTCAGGAAACAGTTAGTGGGAGTTAGAGTCTTATAGTGTCAAAGTAGAGCTGACTGTAGTCCGAGCGTTTTGCATCTATCAAAAGCAACGCACAGGACGCACAATATTCAAAATACATATGTGATAAAAAGAAACCTTCTTGTTGGTGTCAGTGATATTGATATTCTTCTGTTGAGCTATTACCCCTACGGCCCCGACGATCCTGCTGTATTGGTCTGAATATAACCGAGAAAAGGGGTCATGTAACATAAGTTTCCGGCAAGATGACACGCTTCAAGAAGACTTATTATGAGTGTAATTTCGGCAAGGCAATTGACTTGGAAGGCCAAAGAATTTATTGCTATGATATCATTCAAGAAGGACATGCATGAAACCGTTTGGAGAAATACTACATTACGTCCGCAACAATTAAGTGCCTGGGTATTTCAAATTTTCATATAATAGCGTATATAGGTGACACATATGTTCGGCTCATCCTACAGAGAATACTGCACGAGTTAGGAACGTCGTCTTCATCGCTTGGTTCAATTTTCTTTATGCTAATGCAGAATGGCATGAAAGTATATTTCGATAAGTATGCAGCCGTTTTAAAATAATTTTATAACGATTTTATTTCCATATTTGGAGTCCATTTCCTTCAAACGGCAATAAATATAATAAATACCGCTATTGTAATTGTCATAGGCGTCGAAAGATCGATAATTGGGGGGGAGACCATATTCATATATTCGTGTTCTGCATTATTAATTTCTTTTGAAATCGATTGTTTTTAAGGTCTGTGAACACGAATAAATGAATATGGTCCCCCCACTTATCGATCTTTCGACGCCTATGGTAATTGTAATTTGTAAATATACTAATGCATGCATGCAGATATGAAACGTTGTTTTGTAATCAAATATTCTATTACACATTTTTCACTCAAACCGGTGTCACAGGAAATTCGCACCCCAAGGAGATTCGCCCCTCCCCCTCTCAATAGGGGGGGGGGGCGATATTCCTAGGATATTCGCCCACGCGTTGCAAATCTCCTAGGAATTTCGCCCCCTTTAGGAATTTCGCCCCCCCCCCCCATACAAATTTTGAATATTTTATCTAAAA